GTTCATCCAGCCTGTCCTATCCAGACAGGCCTGCTCTTTCTTTGTCTTTATATCCTTTTGCTTTCATGAAGTATGATGTTCTTGATGTCACCACAAAACTGGTTGGGACTTCTGGCATTAGTGTTCAGTGGATCAAATCTGGTTTGAGGTGTTCTCAAACTTTAGGTGAGAGATGTAGCTTGAGACTTTCATAAGTGCAAAGGAGAAAGCAGCCATGTTTTCTTAGAGTTTGGGTCCAGAAATGGCACAGTGCAACTTTTGTAGCATTTCCTTGGTGTATTCAAGAGGGAAACTAATCTCCCTTTCAGTATGAGGGTTGACAAAATCTGTAGCTGTATTTAATCCATGACAAAAGACTTTTTAACTACTAGCAGTAAGGTTAGTGAGACATAAAAGTTTAAGTGATAGCTGTACATTTGTTGCCATCGTCATTTTCAAAACATTTTCTTTCTACTGGAGCCCTTGGTATCAGCTTCGGGAGAGAGATTGTTGAGGAAGAGATGCAAACATGCCTTTACTTGAGAAGAGCTGGTGGATAGAAAGAATGGAAAATGGGACAGAGAAGGCGTAATGGAGTAATTCCCAGAGAAGATAAAAATAAATAAGGATTCATGGCCCAAGGTTGGAATAAAGAACAGAGGCATTCATTTCTTGGAGACAGCAGGAAAAAAGATGAGATGGCTTCATTTTCCTTGCGGAAATACTAGACCTAGTTCTTCACCAAGAGTGATTGGGTTTTGGGATAGTTTGAAGTATCTGGTGTGTAATAAGGTTTGGTATAACCACAGGAATGAGCAAGTGAATGGCAGTGTGGACAACCCAGCTTAGGTGCCAACTATGCTTGACATGAGTATTTCATTGAGGAATGTAGTCATCCAGGGAGATGTGTCACTTAGTTGATACTAAGGATGACTCAGTTCTTTGGCTTCTTTTCTACATTGTGAATATTTACTGAAACTATGCGTTTGTTTCAAAAGCAGCGCCAGTAGAACTGTTCTTCAGTCGAGATTGCTTTAGTGTCTGTGTTTGTTTTTACGACCCCTTTGAACAGGCTCTTAGTGATAGAAAACTTTGGGCTAAATCCAATAATGGTTACATGGAGAAACCTTCCACAGATCATGCAAGGGAATGGGATTCCTTTCACTTTCTCTTATAAGGGAATCCATAGCAGACAGTTTGTTCCTGAGCATACACTTAGTGTGTAGTCATGCCACAATGAGTGGCAAGGGGTAATTTCCACAGGTCCCTCTGCCAACAATGTATCTGTGATATTTATATTCATTGTGTTTGTTGTAGTTTGAATGTACACAGTGTTCATGATAAGATGGTTTTGCTCTCTATGATCCAACAGTAACATTACTAGATACAAACCCTAAAGGCCTAAAAATAATGACATGAGCAGATAGCTGCACTGTGAGGAAATGGCAGGGTGTGGGGAGTATGTCTGACCACTGCTGGTCTCGGCAGGAAGGAGAATCCAACTCCATGGCAGTCTAAGGCTGATTGCCTCAAGGCAGAGGTCAGGCGAGCCTCTATTCTCCGCCATCCTTCTTTACCCTAGTCCAGCGGTTCTCAACCTGTGGGTCGCGACCCCTTTGGGGGAGTCATCAAACCTTTTCACAAGGGTCGCCTGATTCATAACAGTAGCAAGATTACAGTTATGAAGTAGCAACACATGAAGAACTGTATTAAAGGGTGGCAGCATTAGGAAGGTTGTGAACCACTGCAGCCCAGTCTCACACCAGTCATCCCTCTCAGCGTTCTACTTCACTGCTGGTTCAAGAGTTCTCTGCAGTGGCCACACAGCGTACAAAGTGATAAGGTTACCATTTTTCAGTCTACTAGGCCTTTTTTCAGCTATGTTGACAGTATGTCTCTCTGCAACTCAGCCTCTCAGTTACATGTTCTGTGGACTCTGCAGGTTGGACCAGGAAGCCCTCCCATCACTCTGCCTTTGGGCCTCTGTCCTTCCCCTCTGCTCTATCTTCATGGTCTTGGTCCTATAGTCTCTTTTCAAAAAAATAAATAAATTACTTAGCGCCCCCTTGGCAATTAAAAACTTATGTACTATATTCCAGAATACAGGATAAAATGCTTCTGTAGACACACACACCCACACACACCCACACACACACACTCATGGAGCAGTGTGGCTCACTTTGGGAAACAATGCTTTAGACCATCAGGCACTTACTGCTGCCATACCTATAGGGCAGGGCCAAACTGCCCCTGTGGGTTTCCTAGTCTGTAATTCTAAGGGAGTAGAAACCCCTACCTTTCTCTTGTGAAGCAGTTGGTAGCTTCAAACTGCTAACTTTTCAGATCACAGCCCAACCACTATACCACCATAGTTCCTTTGCTTTAGATACTAGGGACCACTAATTTTAGGTGATGACAAAAGTGTCACAGTATAAGCATAGTAAAGTGAGTGTGGGAGCAAATCTGGGTAAGTAAAGACATCATGGTATACAGGTGAGTACATAGGTAAGAAAAGAGAGGGCTTCAGAAAGTTGGTGGGAAAATTCCACTCTTTGAATTCCATTTTTAAAGGAACGTTTTGAAGCCCCCGCCCATCACTGTCATGAAGTCAATGCCAATTCATAGGGACCTGATAGGACAGGGTAGAATTGTCCCTGGGAGTTTCTGTGACTGTAACTGTAAACGGGAGTAGAAAGCCCTAACTTTACTCAGCCTCATAGCTGTAGGTTCTTATAAATACACTCTGTGATAAATGTTACTAAAGTCACTGACCAGTTTGCGAAATTGCCAAGTGGGAACCTAGCTTGCTGTATAAACTCATAAAAAAATTCAGTAAAACTAAAACAAAAATAGAATAAATTGGGTTAAGATGTATAAATGTTGGTTTTATAGAACTAGAAATGGAAGCTGTGTCACCTACTTTAGAAAATATAATTAAAATAAGTGTGTATAAAATAGGTTTTCCTCAAGATTTTTCTTTTGCAAATTGTTTATTGATCATCACATTTCGTGGTTTTAAAAAGTAAAAGTAATTTTTTGTATTTTTTTTAGGAGACCCATGTACAGTGTCATCGCAGCTGGAGTTGGAAGAAGCCTTTAGGCTTTATGAATTGAACAAGGATTCTGAACTTTTAATTCATGGTACAGGAGTAGTCATTTCTTACTCTTCTAAAATTATGTAATTCCTTAAACATTTAAAAAATAATTCTGTTGTCATTTTCTTATAAATAGTGATTTTTGTTGAGAACATACACAGCAAAACATATAACAATTTAAGTTTCTTAGCATTTCATAGACATTAGTGTGTTTCAATGTCAGCAACTCTGAGAGGTAGGTAGTGATAAAGAAAAAGCCCAAACTCAGTAGTCACCTAATTGGAGCATTGTAGACTTTGTGAAACTAAGTATTGTGGATCCAAATATATATTCTTTTCATTCTATCATGCTCCTTAAAATTTTTATGACCTGTAGCTCCCACTTAATACACTGCGTATTTAAGGATAAGGTTAAAATTTGGTTCAATATTTTTGGTACATGAATTTAAGTCCCATGCAAAGTTGTATTTAATTATATAATTGTACCTCTTAAAACTTCCTGAATTAATTCCAGTGTATTTTTCTTTCAGTATTCCCGTGTGTGCCAGAACGCCCTGGAATGCCCTGTCCAGGAGAAGATAGTAAGTGTTTACATACTTCATACCAAAAAAAAACTTGAAATGAGCTATTTATGACATGATGGCACAAATGAAAAGAAATCAGAACTTGACCTTTTTTTCCCCCTGCTTATAATAGAGAAACAGTTTCAAGGCCAAAAGTCCAAAATACAAGTCAAGGTGTCAGCAGGGTCATGCTCCCTCTAGTGGTGCAAGGGTGGAATCCATTCTTGTGTGGTGGTAGCTGACAGAAAAATAGAGTTTTATAATTCGTTTGACCTCTCTTTTATTTCTTTTCTAATTTAGAGTATAGTAGAAACTATTGTCTCTTCTTCTTAAACTCTAGAAATGTATTAGCAATTGTCTATTTTTCTTAAGCTCTACTTTTTGCCAGATCAAATTTAGAAAGTTTCTATTTAACTCACATACTTGACTATTGTGCATGTGAACATAAAGTTCATTTTAAATAGTGTTTCTTCTGACTTTTTAATATTCAATGTTTTTAAACTTATGGAGCAATTGAAAACAAAGATACCCATATAAACTTTGTCCAGATTCTCCAGTTATTAACATTTTTTGTTTGCTGTGTCTCTAAGTACACACATGCACATATATGTGTATACATAGCCTGGTCCCTGTATGGTGCAAATGGTTAAATGCTCAACTACGAAGTGAAAGTGTGGTGTAGCAGGCCCGCCCAGCTATGCCGCAGAACACAGGTCTGGTGACTGCTTCTATTAAGGTCCCAGCCTTGAAAACTCTGGGGAGCAGTTCTGCTCTGTACACATGGGGTAGCCCTGAGTTGGAAGGGATTGCTTAGTGGTCAGCAACCTTTTTCTTCAGATCAGTGGCAGATTAGTTAAAGCCATAGGATTGTTTTCTTAACAGAGCTGATGGAAGAGTCTGCAGCTTGCTTTCAGATGCCTCAGGAGATCAAAAATGTGTAGATGTAGAGAAGCAAGAATATGTGGCAAATGCTAATTGTTATTGTAGGGGAAGGATATGCAGGTGTTTATGTCTTCTACTCTTTTGTGTAGGCTTAAACAAATTCCACAATAAAAGGTTGGAAGGGGTATGTTTATAGCAACTTTATAATTGTCAAAATTGGAAGAAATCAAAATGTGTTTATGGAGGTAAATGGATAAAGAAACTGTGGCATATCCATACAATGGACTTTTTGGAGATAAAAAGAAATGAGCTATCCAGAGAAAAAAGCACAGGGGAGCCCTTAATGCTTATATATTCTATATAATTCCCAAACTATAGTGACAGTGAAAAAGATCAAGGGAGGGATGGGATAAATAGGTAAATAAAGCACAGGGCATTTTAAGGGCAGTGAAACTATTTTCAATAATGTAATGATGGCTACATGGGATCGATTATTCGCTTGTTAACACTCAAAACTGTACAACATGGAGTGAATCCTAATGCAAACTGTGGTCTTGAGTTAATAGTAATAATGTATTGGTATTTGTTCATCAGGTTTCACAAATGTTCCATAAATTTGTGCACAAGTTGTCTATAAACCTAAACCGGCTCTAAAGTTAACA